TAAAAGATATTAAGTGTTAAAGTCCGGTAAAAATTCAGTAAATCGGATCGAATAGAAAATTTGAACGATATCAAATTAAGCTTAGAAATATTATTTTCACATTTTAAAATGGCGGAAAATATTATGGACCTTGAATTTGAGAATTTATTTCCAAGTTCAATTTCGACCGTTGAATGAAAATGACAAGATTGAAATTCTTGGAAAGTTGAATGGATAAAGTTGTCAAGGGAATAATATTTTGTTCATCTTTGAATTTGGAAGATGATAACCAACATGTGTCTTAGTATGGATGTAATTATCAAGTTTCATTAATGGTAAAATTGTCATTTCCTAATTAAATGAATTTTTAAATTCATTTAAGCTTAATAAATGACAAATTAACATGAAATTAACTAGAAATTTCATGAAAATAATGCCTTCTTCAACCTCCATTTCATGCTCCTCATAACCTAGGTGAGAGAAATTTTACTTTTCATTTTTGAGCAATTTCTTTTGGATTTTGTATCGAATCGTGAAATAGAAATTTGGTTTATTCGCAGAGCTATATCATTTGGTACCATTATTGCATGCTAATTTTTCTTGAATGTTGAGTTCCCAAATTTTATGGTTTATGTTCATGTTAGGGTTTTATAAATTGATGATGGATTTTGAAGTTGTTAAAGCTATAGAATCATTTCCAAGCTTGTTTGATGATCAAAACCACCTAGAAATGTTATATTGATTTTTGACGTAAACCCTAAATTAGGGAAGTTTGTGATTTGATGAAGTTGAGTTAGGGGTTTTGTACAACTATGTTTCGATATAACAAATTAAGGCAAAATGATTTTGGACTTGAATTGAATTTATTCAAAGTTTTCAAAAGATTTCAAAAATAATTCAAAGTTCATTAAATTCGGATTTAAGCAAAAATATTAAGAGGTACCGATACCCCTATGAATGGGTATCAATACCCCTATGAATGGGTACCGATACCCCTATGAATGGGTATTAATACCCCTATGAAGACTCAAACATCGAATGCAAAAAGGGTATATATACCATGCAAGGGTATCTATACCATGCAATGGTATCGATACCATAGTGCAAAGTAGTACTAATACCCCTTAGGCAGTATTGATACCTACAAGGCTCCAACGGCTAGCAACGGCTAGTTAAATTTGAATTTAACAAAGGTAGTATCGATACCCCATATAGGGGTACTAATACCCCCTGTTTTGGACAGTCTATTTTTGCAGAAAAATAATCCCCAAACGACTCCAAAACATCCCCAATGGCTATATACGACTTCAAACTAATTTCAAGCTATAAATACAAGCTGAGAACAGATGAAGAAATAAGAGAACACCTATCCAAGCATTCAAACACAAGAGAAGAATTTTTTCATTCTTATTTCATCTTTCTCTTGTAAATATTTGTTCTTGTGAGCTTAACTCTTGTAAACACCTACCTTTGAGAGGTTTATTTGTTTACTTCTTTTATCCTTGTAAAGGGAAAAATTTCTAGTTTCTCCCGTGAAAAGCTAGGGAAAGGTTCTAGTTTAGCCCGTAAAAACTAGGGAGTTATAAAGGTTATCTCTTTGTCCTGTAAAAAAAAGAACAAATTAGTGAATTTGATAGAAATTCCTTGGTGAGGAGCTAAGGTAGTAGATGTAGACTTGGTTGAGAAGTCGAACCACTATTAATCGTTGTGCAAATTTTCTATCTTTAAATCTCCTTACTCCCTAAACACAAAAACCATTCTGACCCCTCTTTGCAAACCGTTTCGGTTGTCGATTCGAGCTTCCGCAAATCCCAATAGGTTTGATTGTAGAGGTTTTAAAATGTTTAATAGATGTTGATTCATGCTCAAATCAAAAAAAATCAAGTGAAATAATGAAACCCTACCCCCTTAACATTCGGCCTAAGCTTTTGGAAGTGAGAAAAATTATGAAAAAATTATATAAGGGTTAGAACTGATGTAAGAAGGATCCTAGAAGCTTTAGAAAGCTATTTGTAAGTTTATAAAATCACCATAAATACTATAGAAATGATTAGGGGATGATTTTTATGCAGTTGGATTCGTATATCAGTCTAGTGTTGTTGAGAATAAACATCTACTGATTTCAAGAAGTATACAAAAAGATATGAATTTTTAATCGAGCCTAGGTCAGAAAACAGTGTAGCATATTCTGCTCAAAACAGCTTATGTAAGTCAACTTTGAAAATTCACTATAAATTGTACAAGATGAACTAGAATGAGTGTATTATATGGTTAGATTTGTATTCGAGTATAGTTTCCATTGCTATAAACGGAATAATTTTTAAGTGTGTAGATTAATATAAAATAATATTTTTTTTGAATATAGTGCAAACTGTCAGTATATGAAATTTGTCATAAATTGTGTTTTCAAGTTACTCTTATGTTATATGAAATTATAAATGTTCAAAATGAGTCAACTTTATTATAGTTAACATAATAATTATGGTATTTATTCCATGATGAATATGATGTGTATGTTAAAGAAAGGTAAGTGTCGTAATTTGTTTAATTATTTGATCAAGGAAGACTTGTGATAAGTCAACCTCATATTATTTTAAAGTACGTTTTTATTTTCATTATGAATTATTTCCATGATATTTCTATAAATTTTTATGAATGATTTAGGGTGTGGACTGCCCATCATGTTATGATATGAAAAGTTGGATATGTTGATATATTGATATCTTTGATAATTATATAACATATAACAATTAATGGAAAAGCCCATGTATGTTACATTGAGAGTCGTAGGTATAATTGGCATGCCATGAGGTAGAGTGATTATGATTATGATCTGGTACATTTATGTACATTATGTATAGCACCGTTGGTACAAGTGATATGATTGCACTTGGAGTGCATGATATGATTGCACTTGGAGTGCATGATCTGATTTTGATGATAGCACTGAAGTGCTTATTGCGCACACTCGTCTGACTCACGTACCTTGCATTCTCATAAATATGCATTGGGCTATGAACTTGAAAATAAGCTATGAATCTGAAATTAAGTTATGAATTGAAATAAGTTATGAGTCCGGAAACAAGTTATGAATATGAGAATAAGTTGTGAAATGTGAAAGTACATATCATGAAAATGAAATGTGAAAGTGAATATGAAAATGAAATGTGAAAGTGAATATGAAAATGAAATGTGAAAGTGAATATGAAAATAAAATGTGAAAGTGAAAGATGAAAGATGAAAATGAGATATGAAAGTTTTGTATTGTATATGAATATGAAAAATAATATGATATGACTATTATGTATGATATTGTTTATCATGGTTTTGATAAAATTATAAGATGATGGTTTTTCGGGTGAACTAAATCAATCTTTATCCAGACCAAATTTATGGAGAGGAACACAACCTTAGAGTAAATTTAGAATTGATTTGACACATTAGTACCATCAATTCACCATAATTCTAAAGTACAAATATAGCTTCAATGTCTCAAAATTGAGGTATAGATGGAAAATTTTTAAAAATATGAAAACTTGTGACATAATTACACTTGTCCCGAACCCACAACACGTTGGATGAAGACATTTCCTAGTGTCAAAAGGTTGGAACTTTTTGAGCTAGGTGTTAATTCTTCTAGTTCTAGCAAGAAAAACACCTCAAAAGACTGCATAGGAGCTTCAAAACTGTGTGCTAGACTAGCTATTTAATGTGTCTTGGGAATTTTGATGATCGTAGAACACGGCATGCAAAGAAATAATAGAACACAGCATGCAAAGAAATAATAAAACACGGCACATTGCATTCCAAATTAGAAAACTCATATTCAACCTTTGAGACTAGTTCGTGGAAAGGGACAAGCCGAACCCCCAAGATAAACCCTAAAATGGAAATGAAACATACCCCGCAAAAATCATAATAGATCCGCAACTAATGGGTCAGCTAGATGTTTAGTACCCCAATTATAATTTTTGTTCAGTTTTGGTCACCCAACTATTTTTTAAATCATGTCTAACATTTAGTTGTAGCTTCGTTTTGGTCACAACGGGTAAAAAATTAAAGGTAATGTTGTTGTTCACCATAATATAATGTCATGTCATCATTTAAAAAAATAATAATATTACATCAATAGTTCTGTTAATTTTTTAATGATGGGTGACCAAAATGTAAAGTTAGGTATGATTTAAAAAAATAATTGAGTGATCGAACATAACAAATATGATAGTTGAGATACTAAACGTGCAGTTTACCCTTAAAATTTTACAATTTAGCTAATTGAATTTGTAGTAGTAGATTTGATTATATTTTAACAAAATAGGTTTAAACAATTAGAGTTATTTGATAATATTTTGAGACTTTTATTTGACTCAAAAAGATTAAAATCTTAATATAATGATGAATTACAAAAAAAAAATCTTACAACAACTTTAAGACTACTTTTTTCTATAATGATCTATCTAATATTGATACATATAATTTTTTTTCAGAATCAGAAGTGTTGCAAATTACTTTATCAAATGAGTAAATATCGGTATTTGAATTGCCAGCTTAATTAAAATTGTAGATTATTATCCAAATGTTTTAATTGTTTATTGGTTCCATTTAATTATGTCAATGGCAAATACAATTGTCGAAACAAATTTATTAAAATTATTAAAAATTACTTGAAATCTTCAATGTTATAAGAAAGATTTAATGATATATTCATTTAATGCATTGAGAAAAATACATTAGACCATATTAATGTAGACAGTATTATTAATAATTTCACATTGAAAAATGTTCATAGAAATTATTTTATGCCAGTAATTCGGGTGTTTAATAAAAAAATTTAAATTTTTTCATTTAAAATTTGTTGGATTTATTAAATAGTTCATTGAGTGTAATAAAAATGTATAATTTACAAATAAATCAATTTAATTTTACTCTTAAAATTTATTTTTTTGGATATTTAGTATTAGAGGCCCAATTGGCCACATAATCTTAGAAACGGGCTTGCACATCATGAATAAGAAAGGTAATGAAATAATCTTCTTATTTGTACCCTTTCACTCGCTTTACAGGGATGATACCTAAAAAAACAAAAGAAATTAAGCATACGTGAATGTTGAATTTGACCTATATATCGGGAATCCCATAGTGGCAGTGCCCGCTAAGAATGTCCAATATCAACTTACAAGATAACACCCCTTCTTAGCTCGATACATGGCATCAAACCGAAGATGGAACCTGTTTCACCACAATCATTGGCATGCATGGATACATACATGGTCACTTGCTCAACCAGTAGATGAAGATGAGAAATGTGCATACAGATGCAACCAGAGAAAGAATGATGGTATCCATAGATTTTTTCCTCTTTATTGAAGACAAAATCTGACTCACCTGCACAGTAGTACAAGATGATGGTGGACATGAAAAAACAGTTGAAAACCACTCCACAGAGATGTTAAAGAAAATTATTTGGTTACTTCCAGTGGAATTCTTAAGACTCCACAAGCATTTAAAGGTTTACAACAAATTTCGATAAAACATACATGTGTGTGTGCATTTAGTAGTGAATTTGAAATTCCTATAGATATTTTTTAATTTGAAAGTACATTTCACTCTTACAAATTATATAGTAAATGAAATGTAAATCCAAATTTTCAAATTCATGTTCCCAAACATAGCATAAACTATGTAGTATATTTGATCATTTATGATAATTTCTTGCAGATATATCAAACTATGTGGAAATCATAACAGGGAAATAGCATGTCAGACGCTTAAACCTTGGATTGTTAAAGTACTTAATAAATGTATGCAACTTGAACCACTACTATCAACATTTGCAAGTATTCATACCGTTGGTAGACGGCTGCTAACATTGCTGAGCTTTGAATTAATCCCCCCAAAAGTAGAACGTTGAAAGACAAGTGCACCAAGAGTTGCTTGAGCTTGTGAAATTACATTATCCATCTAGAAAACCAGAATTCAGTTGGAAACTTAATATGAACCAAGGATAGATGAGGGTTTTCCTGCTTTGACAGATTAAAAACATGAACAGCAATGGAATTCATCAAGATACTTCTAATAGAACTATACACTTGTACTAAAAATAGGTAGAAGTAACAGCAAGACTACCACCACTGTTAATGTGCTTCTTTACAATGTGTTAAGAACCAGGTAGGCAGGTAGTTATATGTAAATACTAGAAATAAATCAAACAGGTAAGAAGACTTCAATTCATTACAAATGACAAGGATTTGAACTAAGTTTTTCTTTCAACCTCTCAATATTTGGAAGTTGACATGTTTAAGACTTTTTAAGAGTCAATGTGTACTTCTCTAACTCTAAATTTTCTTGAACAAGAATGACCAAATACTCCAAAAGTCATAAGTGTCATGTAAAGATCCCAAGTGATGAGATCCACTAATTAATTGAATGAGATGACACCTGCAAATTATATCTATCCATAAAGAATACATAGCAAATTCTTAAAGATTTTCTGACGAACTTGTGCAAGCAGTGATGATGATCAACCTTATCATAACATTTTCAGACTGTTAACCAGCTGTAACCATTCCTTTTAGACCTTAAAATGAAGTAAAAGGAAAGAAGCTATAACAAATGCAAAGATGACACAATTATATCCATGATGTGATTCGAAATTCTTTTTGCTCCATTTGTCTATCCTCGATCTCATTGCTAATTGATTGATTATTAAACTCAAGTTTCCCATCATTAACTGAAATTTAAGGAATTTCTGTAGAAGGAATTAAGTAATATAATCATTCTTAATCAAGTTATTGTTAACTACTATTAATGTTACATACATGTCCTGTATTCCGGCTGATGGCTGCATGCTCCTTTATTAGTGCCTGTTCTGTGGAACCCACACCTTCTTCCAAGTCTAATCTAGTCCGATCAAATTCCCTAAAATCGTCCAGTAGGGAAGCGTGTTCTTGTTTAGCTCTAAGGCTAGAGCGAAGACGATAGAACTCCTGTGCTTCAAACGGATCTAATATCAGGTTAGTTTCTGAGCAGTTCAATCATAGTAACTCCCCTTAATGTTTTCATAACAAAAGAATGTATATTTGGAAGTTCCGAAAGAACTCATGAAGATGTCAAACTAAACTAGTACGCAGGGTATAAAAAATGATTGTGGAGACAAAACATACTTGGAATATCTGCAAGATAAGAAAATATGAGACATTTAACATTAACTATGAAGGCCTTTAGTCTCCTTTTTTCTTTTATTATTGGTTTCCAAACAGACTGACAAGAAGCCACTTTTGTTTAGTTTTAAATTGAAAAAGGGAAGAAAGGAGAAAAGTTTGTCTTACAAGGTCTAAAAAGAAAAGCGAATGATGATGATTGTGTGGCACACAGATAGATAAAAATATTTTATAAACCACATTACCTGAGTGAGATCTTGAAGAATTTCCTGATGCCTAGTCAAGGTATGAGAAACCATTTCAGAACCACCAGATGAGACCAAGTCTTGCATTTTCAAATTTACTTGTTGTAGCTGTTTTAGCAATCGGTCTATACCAGATTCAATATCATTTTCTTCTGAGTCATTTTTCGTCGAAACCTTATTGGAGACCAACTTGCGATATGCATTCATCTGCTCATCCAACTGAGCTTCGAGTTTCCTTGCCTGCAATAATAGTGAAAAAAAGTTATAAATTATTCAATTATTGCATTTCAGGATATATTCAATATCTTCTGGGGAAATAAAAGGTTATTAACACCAAAGAAGGTCGTTCAACAGCATAATCCCAATGCCACAAATTTAAGGATGTCAAATTAATTGCCCCTACAATTTGAAAAGCCCATTGAAATATGGGCGTTAACAAGAAAAATATTAAAAGGCGAAGAGAAATGTTCCCAAAAGAAATTTATGAAGAACCTTTTTCCCAAACTTTTTGATATTAGTGACCAAAATCATACTTTCCATTCTTAACATATAAAGATAATCCGAAAATGCATATTGAACCCTCTCTCACGTATTGTCAATTTTTGAACCAGTTATATAAGCTATAGTTGTCGGACTATACCAGTTATATAAGCTATGTAGACCTGCTTGGAAAAGTCATCCATTTACCATATTCAAGGAAGGTAATCAATTAACACTCATCTGTCATCACTCTCATCCATGCCAGGTAAGATAACAAACTAATAAAACACCTATACATCATAAGATCGACCTCAGTGACTTTCAACTCCAGTTGTTAGCAAGTAAACTGACACAAGGTTAAATTGCCCTTCGTCTTATTTTGCAGCATCAACCACACAGCAAACCCGGAAGATAATATGAATACTTTAAAAAATAAATACAATGTTTATCTTCAACAATGACTAAGGAGAGAAAGATAGAACAGAACATTAACCGGACTTGGAGCTAGTCAGATATCTGTTAGACACAAATATGCTCAATTTTTCCAAAGCATTTCTATACATTTAAAGGAGTATACCCCCATAACCATGTCCCAAATATGTGTTGAACACGTTACCTTAGGCAAAACCAAAGCTCGACATCTCAAAAAAAAATTAATGAAAACAAAACAGAAATATGCTCAATTTTTCCTAAGCAAATATGCTCAATTTTTCCTAATCATTTCTATACATTTAGAGTATACCCCCATAACCATGTCCCAAATATGTGTTGAACAAGTTACCTTAGGGAAAACCAAAGCTCGACATCTCAAAAAAAATTAATGAAAACAAACAGAAAAGGCAACAAGTATTAGCAAAACTGTAACTCTTCTTTAAGGCCCTGATTACTTTAAACGGATCCAACGCTGGAAATAAACATAAAGAATTCCTTTCCTCTATGAGCATCAAAAAATCCATAATCTCTCTGTGTTTCTCTATATAATCACCCTCAAGGCCTCAGGGGGGGGGGGAAATCAGGTTCAATTGATTGAGATCCCATATTACCATTTCATTTCAACAAATTCCAATAACAAAGCTCAAGAACTTCCTAAAGAATCCCAAATTCCTCAACAATCGAAACCTAATCAACCGAATCGAATAGAATTATAAAATCCTAGGTTATTTTCTATCCCGATTCTTAGGCAAACATAATTAAGCGCCAAAAGAGGAGAGAGAGAAATTCAGCAAAACCTGTTTGCGTAGAGCATCCCATGAGATCGGCACCTCCATCGTTAATCGTCTATCGATCGCTTAACAAATTCTTCTTTCGATTAATTTTTACAAAATCCTTGGAAATTTATTCCTGAGGATTTTAATTTACTTGTGTTTGTATTCTTATGTATAAATAAATATTATACAAAAATTGAAAAGAATATCAAGGGCCAAACGGTGCGTTTTGAAATGGAACGAGGGAATTTAACGGTTGCTTGGAGGCAGAGATTGGTAGTACCATAAAATCAAGTGAAACAAAATGATTCAAATTAACTACAACATAATATTTAAGGTAAAACATATTAAATAATAAATATAATTATATAACTATAATTAAAAAATAAATTTGGGGTTAAAAAAATCATAACAAAATGATATTGTTTGGTATAATTTTTTTAAAAAAAACAATCCTACATGACTAAGAAACATAGAAGAGCATCCCAAAAGTCTAAAGAGTAAAAATATGAAAACAAAACAATCTCACATTGCTAAGAAACATAGAAGAGCATCACAACTAACTTCTATAAATAATAGAGGTAATTTGGCATTCAAAATCATGGAGCCTTTTGGTGAGCATTGAGTGAACTATTCTTTCACTTCAATCAAGCTCGAATTTTAGGCTTCAATCGAGCTTCTAAATTTTTTTTTAGTTCAAGCCTTTTTGAGTTTAAGTTTCAATATTATATTTCGAGTTTGAGTTGAACTTGATAATTTTTAGCTTGTGAGTTTGAGTCGAGTTGAGCTTACTTTTAAAGTTTTCAAGTTCTAGTCAAGCTCAGCAATACTCGAGTTCGACTTAGCTCGTTTAACAAACGACGTTGTTTGGTTTAATTTTTTTTTAAACAAAATTTCCGGTTTTTTCCGGTTTTTTGCCGGTCCGGTTTAAACGGTTCAACAGTTCTGACCGATTCATTAATAGCGGTTCAACCGGTTTAGATTGAACTGGACTAACACACGGTTCCCGGTTCAATTGGTTGAACCGACCGGTCCGGTCCGATTTTCAAAACAATGGCTCTACAACCTCGAAATCCCAACGGCAATTTTGTAATATTGCGTAATCCTCAATCAACCTTCCTCCTACTGTATTTAGAGCTGATATCGATCCGAAATTTATTCATGAAAATTTTAATTTAATAGCTAAAGTACATGAACGATATCTTTGACTGTACGGTGTTATTTTATTAAGTTCTTAGACTATTAAAAATTAGAAAATGATTTTTTGATTACGAAATATTATTTGATTTAGTCTCTTACAATTAAAAGTTATAAAATAGTCACCCCGAATTATTCTAAACTCATTCTCTTTTATTAAAAAAATTGATGACAGCCTAAGCTAGACGTTAACATGTTTATTAAAATATGATAGTCGTTTGAGATTTTTGGATTATATTTTATCATATCACAGCCAGCAGGTTAACGTCTAGCTCAGATTGTCATCAATTTTTTAATATAAAATAATTAGTTTTGAATATATGAATAGTAGGAGACAACAATGTAATGTACTATAATCAAAGGATCATTTCATAAATTTTAATAGTTAGAGGAATAGTTAGAGGATTTAAAAAGTAACATCCTATAATTGAAGGAACATTTATGTACTCTACCCAATTTTAATAATACTTTTCCCTAATTTGAATAAGTTTTTAAGCATTTCCATTTAAATTTATTTTTAAAACAAATATTTTATTCGAAATGAATCAATACAAAATCCGTGTAACGACTTGCATCTTTTCATTCTTAAATTTGGGCTATAACGTTTCTATGCAACATTGCATTGGGCCTTCGAAAAAGTACAACAACAAAAAAGCACATCAAATTCATACTAAAGGCTAAAGGAATTTCAAGGGAAGAACCTTGACAAAATGGGATAGGTAGGACCTTCGAGAAACAAGAAAAGAAGAGCAAAAATACATATAATAAAATTTCCCATTATTATATATGATCAAGTGTATCATCGTGAACATACGTACGATTTTATGTTATGCGACGAGCTTATAAAATTTTATAGGGGAGTAAATTTATAATATTTTAGAGGAACAAAAATAAATTATCAATATAAAATAAACAAAAAATCTAAATAATAAGATAATTTAAAATTTTTAAGGGGACAACTGACACAATCCGTCCCTCTCGGTCGATCTATGTGTTTCATAAAAGTGTGATGATATCATGCATGTCATCATATTTTTGAAACTTCTTTTAGGCAGCCATGCATGTATGGTTTGTGAATTGGAGTATACCATCATGTCATGTAGGTCAATAAGAAGACTTCGCTTTGTAGATCGTTTGATAGAGATTAGGTTGGAGATAACTCAAATATACTTTTTACCATTTTCAATCCAAATCTAAAGTATTCGAAATTTAATTTCCTTATTTACGTTTAACATTGTGTTATGTTGACTAGCGTTTTTAATTATTTTTATTATGTTCTTACAATAACAAAGGAAATTATCACAAAGCTAATGCAACCTCAGTTTAATAGTAAGATTGAGATACTAGAATGATTAGAATTACGAAAATTTGTAAGTGGTCTCAATAGTATAAAAATGTTATTCTTTTTATAAATTCTCGATTCGAACTATATTTGTTGGGTGTGTGCCTTGTTAATGTGTTAGAAAAATTTAAACATCTATTATCTTGTAATCATCTCAGACTATTCTAAAAATAAATATTAAAATATAATACTTCTTCATAACTTTTAAAATCAATTAACACTGCACGCATATCTTGCAAACACAATTAAAACCTCTAAAATTAACATTTTTATCTTTAAAATTAATTAATGAATTTTATAAAGAATAATATTTTTTTATTATTAAAATTACTTAATAGATGGGATAAATATAGTAAATTATACGTGGATAGTACTTCACAAGAAAATCCCGAATTTGGAAAACTTTTGGATCCACCCAATATTCCAATTCCAAGACACGTGCAAAGAACAAGGACCAAAAGTCCCATGTCATGTCACATCCTCGAGTGGAGCTTTAACTATTTATCCTCAAAACAGTAGCTGTAGAAATTAGGGCAGCCACTTGGAAGCACAGACCATTATTGATTGTGCTGTGGGTTTGATTTAGAGTCTAATTTCACGACCCACGAGTTTTCTAGTTGAAATTTCGGACACACCGACTACCCTCTGTCTCACTCCTTCAAGTCCAAGTCAACACGTTTGTATAATGTATAATGTTCCATAATTGGCAAAAAAATAATTTAAATAATATGTTGAGGAAAAACATTTAGGGTGGTGATCCAAAAAATATCAAATGTTTTAGGCGTCTTCCTAAAAGCATTAATTAATCTTTACGTCTTCTTATCGATATTGTACCAATCATTCTATTTTAACAAATAAATATTTCAACATCCTAAACGAATCAACTTTTTTTTACTTGAAGAATTTTGCTCATCGTTGATATAACATAATTTATATTTGATACTATGATGAATAATTTTATATACTATTGTTAAATTAAATAATTTATATTATAAAAAATAAAATAATATTTATTTAATAATCATTTTTAATAATATTTATTCTAAAGGCATTACAACTCGTCTAGCATGTTGATTGTAACCATTTTTTTTAATATTTAAAGTAATTGAATGAGGAGAGGAGACCCTATCCACGACGAGGGAGAAAACGTGTCAAACTTTTGGTCTTATAAGTATATATTTTCTTTTGGGATGAATTTGATGATTGGTGTATCCCTTTCAAATGGCACGATTGCAATATATATATATATATATATATATATATATATATATATATATATATATATATGATTTAAAATCTACTTATATATAATATAAAATTTTTATAAATGTATTCTTTTATGATCATTGTATGAAGGGAAATCAAATTATGAGATTAACTATTCATTTGTAAATATCTTCTCATTTACTATATTGTTAGTCTCAGTCTTCCTCTCATACAACGATCTTTAAAAAATATAAATTTTTTTAGTTTTACACTATATACACTACATCAAAATGAGTTTATAACGGCATTTTTTGAACAAACGCCACAAAATAACAAATTTCGCGGCATTTTGTTAGGAACGCCACTAATTTTATGCATATCGCGTCGTTTTAAGCATAAATATCGTTAAATACTCGTACTTTAATGGCGCTTTATATAAACGCCGCTAAAGACTGTATTTTAGCGGTATTTTTATACACACGCAACTAAAGACTTGTACTTTATATATATTTATAAAAAATATATATATATATATATATATATATATATATTAAAATATTTATATTTATAAAAAATTATCTAATATATAGATTATATAGATTTTAATTTATATAAATATGTTTATTTTAAAAATATGTATTTTATTTAAGATTTAACAGTCTATGTTATAAGATTTATAATTTAGATTTTAGGATTTTGCGATTAAAACTTAGGGTTTTAGATTTTAAGATTTAAAATTAAAATAAATAATGTAATACCTCATTTTTATTCAAAATTTTAATTATTTAGTTTAATTAATTTTTAGGACTAATTTGTAAAATTTTGAAAATTTAGGCCATTTTAAAACTTTAGGAAGTTTAGGGACCTAACTCCATGTTTGCCCCTTATTTTCCTGGGCAGAAAAATAAAATAAAATAAAGTTGAGGTCGGTGGGTTTCAAACCCAGACAAGAGGACATGGGTAGTCATGCCCTAGCCACACTGTTTATGACAGAATAAGGTAAAATTATATTTTTAAAACACTCGGTTGGGATTTTAAATACCCGAACTCATTTCCCCCATTCAGAAATAAAACCCAAAAGCCCCTAAGTTTTAAAAACCCCACCGACTTTCGTGTTTCATCGTCAATTTCAGTCGCCGTCCGACCGAAGTTTGCAACACTGTCACCACCATCTTGATTATCGTTCACCTGCGACCAAAACCCCTCTAACCTCGTGTTGCGAAATGTCATTGATTGTCGCAAAACGATGTTCGAAATCTCTCCAAAAACTTAAACCCACCGTGCTATTTTTAGTGATTTCGGTCGATTGGGTCGTCCGACAACCTCACTGCCTCTACCGTTAGGATCCTCGGGCTTGTCCGACCGAAACCCTACCGGTGTTGCTTCTCACCATCGTTGTTTCTATCGTTAATTGTCAT